TTTTTTTTTTTTGAGACAGACTCAGTACCCATTGAGCTACGGGCGCCACCCACGTCGAACTACCCTTTACTTTCCTTCATGAACTTATGGGATATTGCCCTTCTTCTGTCCTTAGTCTGTTCCACTCTGGAAACAAGAGCAGAATCTTTGTTTTGCTGCTGTCAAGCCACAGCATGGGTGCTCTTTCAACAGGTGTTGAATGAACAAACATTTAATTGCTGACTACATCTGTCTGCTTGGTTGGTTACTGGCTCTTCAAATTCTACATAATTGGTCTCTCTCACCTTTTCTCCTCCACAAGAGATCCAGTTCTAACTCTGGAGTGCTCTAAACTTTTTTTTTTGGTTGTTTTTTGATATAGGAGTCTCACTTTGTTGCCCTTGGTAGAGTGTGTGGCATGATAGCTCATGGCAACCTCAAACCCTTGAGCTCAAGAGTTTCTCTTGCCTTAGCCTCCTGAGTAGCTGGGACTACAGGAGCCCACAACACCCAGCTATATCGCTCTTGCTCAGGCTGGTCCTGAATTCTTGAGTTCAAGTAATCCACCTGCCTTGGCCTCCCAGAGTGTTAGGATAACAGGTATGAGCCACCTGGCCTGGCTCTTTGTTCTTCTTTAAAAGCCCCGGAAGTACCCCCCAAACAAACAAAAATTCTACATCATGCAAAGAGAACCTTCTTCCTTCCCTAATATTCTCCTCCCTTCTTTTTTTGAGACAGAATCTCATTGTCTCCCTGGGTAGAGTATAAGCCCTTAGCTCACATCAACCTCAACCTCTTGGGCTCAAGTGATCCTCCTGCATCAGCCTTCTGGGTAGCTGGGACTATGGGTACCTGCCCTGATGCTGAGCTAGGTTCTTCTGTTTTTAATAGAGACTGGATCTTGCTCAGGCTAGTCTCAAACCTCCCCCCAGCAACTCCCACTGTTAGGATTAGAGGTGTTAACTGCCATGTCTACCTCCTCCCTTGTTTCTTTTTCTTTTTTTTTTTTTTGAGACAGAGTCTTACTATGTCGCCCTGGGTAGAGTGCGATGGCATCACAGCTCACAGCAACCTCAAACTCTTGGGCTTGTGATTCACTTGCTTCAGCCTCCCGAGTAGCTGGGACTACAGGTGCACCCCACAAGGCCTGGCTATTTTTTAAATTAATTAATTTTTTGTTGTTGTTGCAGTTATCACTGTTGTTCAGCAGGCCCAGGTCGGGTTCAAACCTGCCAACCTCTGTGTATGTGACCAGCGCCCTATCCACTAAGCTATGGGCGCCGCCCCTCTCCCTTGTTTCTAACATCACTGAAGACATTTCTGTTCTCCAAAATGCTCCACCAACACACTTGGGAGTCATTCCCTTATCTAGTGAATCAAATCTCCAAGCTGTTAATAACCACATTGGTCATTTTTCTTCTCCATTTGCCACTACCTCAGACCACTTCATTAATCTCTCCCAGGCTGTTGTTTTCCATGCTTTGGATTTTTGTGTAAGCGATCTAAAATGCAAATTCAATCCTACAATGCTTCTACTTGAAATCTTTAATAAGCTTCCTCTTGAATTTCAAGAGTTGATTTCTGCACAGGACATTCAAGGTCTTCATGAGTGGACCTGTAAAGCAGCAGCTTCAGGGTGTCCTGTGTGGCTCAGTGCTGGCCCCATATACCGAGGGTGGCGGGTTCAAACCTGGCCTCGGCCAAATTGCAACAAAAAGATAGCCAGGCATTGTGGCAGGTGCCTGTATTTCCAGCTACTTGTGAGGCTGAGGCAAGAGAATCGCCTAAGCCCAGGAGTTGGAGGTTGCTGTGAGCTGTGTGATGTGATGCAACAGCTCTCTACCAAGGATCAAGTGAGACTGTCTCTACCAAAAAAAAAGCACCTTCAGATATCCTTACCCAATTTCCCTAGTGTTTGCCTCCTAACCTTTACACTTACTCCTTCCTCTTTCTGGAAGGTCTTCCCCAATTTCCTTATTAAAGCTAACTGCTTCTCCAGTCCCCTTTCATTCCTTCGGTAAGGGGTTCCTTCTTTATGTGATTCTGCAGTATTTTTCCCCTTATCATTCTACTTTTAACTATTTACTTCTACGTTCTACAGCATAAAACTAACTGGGGGTGAGTGGGTAAGGCTTCTATAGCACTTCTTAGCTGAATGTTTATTCAAGTAAACATGTTACAAATAAATATGACATAAAAATTTCAAATTTTTACCAACTGAAACAATAAAAATATTAAATCAAAAGAAAACAGACCATGGCTCCTATGTCACTTTTTCTATGTTAGGCACAAAGGTAAGTTGTAGAAAGACTACGAATCTTTACTATACCATTACAAAAGGTAAGTGGAGAAAGATTACTTATGGCAGGCCACACATAATCAGTGGGCAAGGAAGGTTTCATTTAAGTTCGTCACCTCTCCTGGATCAAACTCTTAGTGCTGTCTCAGATATTCCCAAATCTCAGATTAGAAGATACTGAACAGTAGGTTAGGGAAGCTGGGTGAGAAAGCAATTATTCCAGGCTCTCCTGTTAAAAACTTATCAGGGTATTAAGTTCCTAACCAAATCACATGTAATTAAATTTTTCTTTCTTTTTTTTTTTTGACATAGCTTGAGCTGTCACCTTCGGTAGAGTGCGTGGCAGTGGCGTCACAGCTCACAGCAACCTCAAACTCTTGGGCTTAAGCGATTCTCTTGCCTCAGCCTCCCAAGTAGCTGGGACTACAGGCGCCTGCCACAACGCCCGGCTATTTTTTTGGGTTGTAGTTGTCATTGTTGTTTAGCAGGCCCGGGCTGGATTTGAACCCGCCAGCTCTGGTGTATATGGCTGGTGCCTTAGCCGCTGAGCTACAGGCGCCCAGCCGAGTTTAACTTTCTTAATAAAGTGCAGCACCACAAAATCTTTGACATTCTAGCAACCGGAAACATTTCTACCTGGGGTGACAGATATCTAAGGGAATTCAGGGAGCAGTTATGAGGGTGTATGAAGAATGAGGCACCATTAGATGTTAAACAACAAACAAAAGCTACCTGAGCATGTACATTCTGGTTATAAACCTACTCAGCTTATGCTAAGTGGAGACCGAACATCCTTCAGTTCTTTCCCTGCTACCTCTAGAGCGTCTCTCGTTCCAGTCTGCCTAGTTGAATCTAGGGTCACTTTAAGGTACGTCCTAACCTCCCGGCTGCCCTTCCGTCTCCCAAGATTCTCCCAGGCGGCTCAGTGGGCAGGCTTAATTTCCAAGGATTCCGCAGTGTGTCTTTTAACCGTCAAGTGAGGGAGATAAAACAAAGCTCAGCACTGTCTTATTAGTTTCCAAACTCCTACCCGCTGCAGAAAGAGGCGGGAAGGTTCCGCTGCGGCCCCGCAACCCTGCCGCGCACATGGCGGGCTGTAGCTCCCACCCCCGCTGCCGCGCAAGCGCCGGGCGGGCCGGGACTTGCGGTCGCAAAGAGTGGATCATTCCGCCGTCTTCTTTGTGTGGCTGAAGCACTAGAAATGGCATATTTTCCTTCCTTCTGTTAAAAAGAAAAGTCAGACCCTCTCGCTCCTTTCTCCCGCCGGAATGGGGTCGGGAAGTGGGTGGGAGTGGGCTCTACTGCCGACTGCCGAGGCGGAAAATCCTCGGGCCCGGGACTGACGGAGGCCGGCCGAGGAGGGATGCTGGGAGCTTTGACTCACTCGCACACCATGTGTCCTTCCGCGCGCAGCACGGGGGACTTTTCGGTGGGGATTTTGGGCGCCGACCAGACGCGGCATTTTCGGAAAATAGCGCCCTGTGCAGCTGAAGCGCTTTGTGTGTAGCGGGGCCGCGTCAGCCCGGCCGGGTACGAGGCGCCTTGGGTCCTCGCACCACCTCCTGCTGCCTCCCCGTTGCCGCTCCCGAAGCTTTTCCAGGTCAGTGCGGGTCTGTGTAGGGCCCTGTTACCACCGGATGTGGAAGTTGATCTCTTCGCTGGTAAAAAATAATTCCACTTCCCCCGGAACCCAGATCATCCCCGCGATTTCCTGTTTATTGCATTAAGGCGCCGGGTTTCCGGGGCTCCTGGCCCCGCTTATTCCGCGGGGGTCGGCGGGGTCGGCCTGGGCGCCCGGTCCGCCCGCGCCGCCGCCGTGCTTTGTCCGCTGGGCACCCCGCTTCTGGGAGGGGCGGGCAGACATGGTGGCGGCCGCCGCCCCCTCCTCGGCCCCGGCATGCCGCGGCCTCCTGGCTGCTCTGGGCTGGGCCAGGCCGCAGCCCAGGGCTGGTGCGGCGATGGGGTCGCTCCGGGACGGCTGGGGCTCTGAGATCGCCAGGAGGCGGGCGATGGGCGGGAGAAGGAGAGAGGCAGGCGCGGCCCGGCCTCGGCCCCCGGCGCCGCCGGCTCCTTTGTCTGGGCGGCCTGACGGGCCCGCCGGGTTCTGCGGAGCAGGGAAGGGGCGGCCGGCCCTGGGCGCACGGTGCTGCGGGGCCCGCGGGGCCCACGGGGCGGGGAGGCGCTCGGGCCGCCGCGGGAGCGGATGGCCGGGACAGGGTTAACTGGAGAGCCCAGCCTGTGCCGCGTGGGGCGGCCACCACGACAGCGTCGGCCGCGGGGACTGGAGTCCTGAGGGGAAGAAGACTGTCTTTCTGATCAGCTCGAGACTTGTGCCACAGAGGCTTTGCCGCCGAGACCCGCGAGTGCACGGCTTCGGGAAAGTTGAGAATTTTGCCAGGTCATCTCTGCCTGGGCACAGTTAATCAGTGGTGTATTTAGCGTGTTTTCGTTGAAGCTCTCCAACTGTGTTGAAGCAGCATGCCTATCCTCAAGGGTGCATCGTGAAAACTGAAACCAAAGGAATGAGAGAGGCCTGCTTTGTGTGTTTTCCCACTTTACGCTTGTTTCTGCTACATACTCTCTTCCTTTAAGCCTGGCGAGCAGACATCTGTTCAAAGAAGGGGCAGAGACTACAGTTTACTTCTGAAGGGGGCTTGGTAATGTGGAAATATTTAACTTCTCCCTCCAGACTCGTTTGTGTCTCCACTCAGGCAAGTTACTTTCTGAAGTACAATTTGTATCTAGAAGAAGGTTTGAATTAGTCCATAAATGATCCTTGTAAAGTACTTTGCCGTCACAATTAAAGATGCACTCTTAATTTATTATCCAGAAGTTAGTAGTAAGAAATTTTTTTTGCATATCGTTTATCTCACGACCTACCCGGCTTGGTTTAAATTTTTTCTCACTAACATGCAAGTATCATCAGTTTTGGCACGTCCATCTTCAGTCTCAGACTTTTGAGTTTTAAGAAAGGTAAAAACGACGTTATCTCATTTTTGTCAATTTCTCTAAAGCAAAAAGCCATTTCATGTTAACGCTAATGACATTTAAGCAGAAGTGACATGTACAAATCTTTTTAATGTCTGGTGTAATAGAAGAGCGCTAGGTTCTTAAATATACTTCTTCAGTGTGTCAGTGTGTTGTGGTTTTCACACCTTGTAACTTCTGGAAAACTCTGTGCACTTAATAGTTTTGTTTTAAACAGAAATGTGTTATCCTTTCCTGTTTTCACCATACAAGTCAAATCAGGATTTTATGCAAGACAACATTTTAAGAGTATAGATAAGATTGATTCCAATATTTTTTTAGTGGGCTAACTTTAAAAAAAAATCGCATTTAAGTGCATAAACAATATCACAGATAAAGATTGCATAATCTGGATATGATCCTGGAGCCTCAGGAACATTTGGAAATGTTCTGAGTGAATAAACTCAATTAACTGCATTTTTCTTTTTTGGTTTGTTTTCTTGTAGGAATCTATTAGGGTGATATGAAGGTACATATTTTTAATGGTGTACACAAGTAAAATGTGAATTCCGTATTAGATGTGCTTGTGAAAATTTGTATGTTAATTTTTATCCTTAAAGGAAGAATACTTTCAAAACACTATAAGTGCTCCAGATTTAGAGGGAATTCAGTGAAAATCTTTGGTGAAAGGAAGAATAGGCTCGGCGGCTCAAGTGGCTAAGGCACCAGCCACATACACCTAAGGTGGCGGGTTCAAATTCAGCCGGCCCGCCAAACAACAATGACAGCTGCAACCAAAAAATAGCCGGGTGTTGTGGCAGGCACCTGTGGTCCCAGCTACTTGGGAGGCTGAGGCAGGGGACTCGCTTGAGCCCAGGAGTTGGAGGTTGCTGTGAGCTGTGATGTCATGGCACTCTACCCAGGGGGACAGCTTGAGTCTCTGTCTCAAAAAAAAAAAAAGGGAGAATAGTTTGCATAATAAGACTACTCAGAGTCCTCTGTCTCAGTTTCTGAAACAATCTGGATTTTCTAGGTTGGGTGACAATTATACTGTTACGTGTAAAAATTTGAAGCCATGCTTACTTTAATGGTTTTGAAAGGAAGTTAAATTTGTTTCTAGTTGTTTCTGTGAACTCTAGACTGAATCTGTCAGTCAGTAGTTCTTTACTGTTCCATCAACAGGAAGCATCTGGTCATTCTTCATGTAATTGTTAGAGAATGCCAGGTGTATTTTTAATGTTTGCTGTTCAAATGAAAATAGACTGATGTTGGTTAATTCTACTTTATTTCAGTGTGTCCCTTTTGACCCCACCCTCAGCATGTGTAAAGTATCTTTATAATGAGCCACATCTCTCTCTCTCTTTTTTTGAAACAGAGTCTCACTCTGTGCCCTGGTTAGTGGCATAGCTTCCTAGCTGACAGCAACTATCAAACTCTTGGGCTCAGGGGATCCTTTTGACTCAGCCTCCAGAAAAGCTGTCATATAGGCACCTGCCACCATGCCTGTCCATTTTTATTTTTTTAAAGTAGGGACTACAGGTGCCCACCACCATGCCTATCTAGTTTTTCTATTTTTTTTTAAGTAGAAATGGGGGCCTTATTTTTGGTTCAGCTGATCTTGAGCTTCTGAGCTTAGGTGATCTACCCATCTTTGCCTCCTAGAGTGCTAAGATTACAGTGCAGCCCACATCTCTTGTAGAATGGCTTTATTTTTCCCTTAAGTGCTTTGTAAGTTAGAAATAGTAACAGGAAAAGCAAACATGTCATGAGGAATTCAGAATAGCTAAGTGAGATTTTGACTCCTGAATTTTTTGAGAGAGCATAAGACCCTTATCTAGTCTTGCTTTGTAAGTTGTCTGCAAATAAACTTGCTGATGGCCTCCACCTTTCTCTCTTAGTTTGCAAACAACAACAACAAAAAAACAAACCCAAACAAAGTTGAAGTTCAGGGCCACCAGGTTTTCTAATGAATACCATTTCTTTGGCCCCTAGTCTTTCCAAGTAGTAATCAGTGTTTCTATGATGTTAATTTGTCTACTTTGGGACAGCTGTGTAATTAGTCTCATACTTAAGTTTTCTGAAGATGTTTGTCTATCATGCTCTCTAAAAGGCACATAGGTAGGCTTGGTGCCTGTGGCTCAAGTGGCTAAGGCGCCCGCCACATACACCTAAGCTGGCGGGTTTGAATCCAGCCTGGCCTGCCAAACAACGACAGCTGCAACCAAAGAATAGCCAGGCGTTATGGCGGGTGCCTGTAGTCCCAGCTACCTGGGAGGCGGAGGCAGGAGAATTGCTTGAGCCCAGGAGTTGGAGGTTGCTATGAGCTGTGATGCCGTGGCACTCTGTGATGCTAGGGGGACAGCTTGAGGCCCTGTCTCAAAAAAAAAAAAAAAAGCACATGTAGTCCCAGATGAGATTAGTTTTAGGGGCTCTCTGTTTCCTCTTAGTGTTGAGTGTTGACGCTATGCTTTGCATAATGATGCTGTGAACAGTCAGCTCTCAGTTCAGTTGGTAAGCTAGTAGTGTACCTTTATTTGGGCTGAATATGTCCATGTGTTGAGTGTAGAGGCTTAACCTTGAAGTGATTTCTACAGTAAAGATAAATTCATATGCACAGCCATTGACATATTTAGAAGTAGAAATCTAAAACACTCAACCCCTTCACTTACCTTTTAATAGGAATAATTGTAAAGACTGGCAGGACCTCAAATCTTAATGCACAAATGGAAAATGTGGGAAAGACTTAATCATTTTCACTGATTACAGAATAGTGTTGATTCATACTAAATCTGCAGGGTTTTTTTTGACTATTAGACAACTAGGCATTGTGTCATATTTCTAAAAAAGTAATTTCTAAGTTGGGAGAACAGTAGGTAGAAAGAGCAAGGTGTTAGCACCACTTTGTACTGGTTGTAATATACTTGGGATGTTGTCCTAGCTTTTTAAGTAGTAGGTTGTCACACCAAAGGTGAGACTTTGTATCCATCCTCAAACTTTATATCAGAGCCACTTGGGAGATCAAATTATAAAAACAATACAAGGAGGACTCTGTGCCTGTAGCTCAGCAGCTAGTAAGGCACCAGCCACATACACCAGGGCTGGTGGGTTCAAACCTGGCCCAGGCCTACCAAACAACAATAACAAGAACAACAAAAATAGTCAGGCATTGTGGCGGGCTCCTGTAGTCCTAGCTACTTGGGAGCCTAGCTCTTGCCTTGGCTGAGGCAAGAGAATTGCTTAAGCCCAAGAGTTTGAGGTTGCTGTGAGCTGTGGTACCATAGCACTCTACTGAGGGTGACATAGTTAGACTCTGTCTCCAAAAAATACAGAACAAAATAATACATGGAGGCCCAAGCTTAAGTAGGACAGGACCTAGGCCTCTATTTTTATAAAGTTTCCAAGGTGATACATGTAGACACCCAAGTTTCAAAGGTACTGAACTATAGAGCATATATGGATGTCTGACTTAAAGAAGAGAAGGCTTCTCTATGTAATAGTAGCCACCTTTAAATTTGGAGGTTCTGTCACACAGAGGGATCAGGTTTGATCTGACCAGGAAGAATTAGGATCTCTGGGTAGAAGTTAAAGGCAGATTTTAACTATTTTTCCAAGAGAAATTTCCTCAAAACTGTGAAAATAGAATGGATTGTTCTGGAATTGTTTTTCCTCAAAACTGTAAGAATGGAATGGTGTCTGTGTTGGGGAGTCAGAGTAGAATTGATGTGTTCAAGGAGGATTTGGGGTGGGTGTCTTCAATTTCCCTATAAACTTTGAGATTTTATGAAATATATCTATGTTTGCCGACCCATAGTGGAAGATCAAAAGCAAATAGAGTGAAATAAGTTGGTTAGCTTATGTGGATCGTAGTTCTCACATTCTTGGATAAAGTAAAATGAATATTAAATGAAAAGGCTCTTTGATGCAGGGCTTTTAAGTTGTAATTTTGTGGACTCAGAAGCCTTTTTTTTTTTT